CGCCCTTCTCGTGTTTGGGGACATACTGCCACCTAGTGGAAGATATAACTAAGCCCACCACCAAACATTCCCTGGCTCTTCTCAGCAATTTTCGGGTGCAAAACCTATCTTTTTATTCTATCTTTAAAGATACAGATAAGACAACGTTAAAATAAAGATAGGAGAGGATTCGTGTGTTTATGGTTATCTTTTAGGAGAGCAGAGCAGAAGGAGGAAGCTGCTGCCGCCAAATGGTGGCGTTCATGCTGATTTGCAACTGGGCCAGGCCTCTGTGTGCAGGTACCATCTGGTCCTGGTGGCAGAGCACAGGTCTGCCCTATGCCGGGCACAAGTGAACAAAAGCTTTATGTAACTATCCGTGGCTTTTTCCTGTCGCTTGGCTGCCGAAAATAAGAACTTGGGAAATGGGCCATTGGGTGATGTGTGCACACACCCACTGGTGGCAGCCCAGCAGCACCCTGGAACTAAGGCTCCCCGAACCTTCCAGCCCCAGGAGGTCTGGCCACAACTGAGCACCTGTCTTCTTAGGGTTCAGAGATTGCTAGTTGGGGATGTATTTGTTAAGGGGTCTGGACGTTGAAAAAACTGAAAACTGTAAAAGGAATATAAATCCCAGCCAGTTCTCCATCTAGAAAATATGTTGTTCTTTTAGTTAAGTGGCCCCAGTTTGCCTCTGGGGTGTTTATTTCTACACAGATTCCAAGCCTACTGGACCCTCGGATCTGTTTACCTGGGTTCCTATCCTCGAGTCAGCCAGGGCTCTCATTCAGACCCTAAGGAAGAAGAAAACGAAGGGAGGGAAGTGTCTAGCATTACCTTTACAGGCATTGCAGAAAACTAGCCAGGGAATCAATTGTCGGGAGGAAAACCTGGGGTCCCAAGGCTCCACAACATAAAAGGGGGTGGAGGCAGCTTCTAGATCCGGAAGTCCTTGACGTCTGTTTCCCAAGACATGAGCCTAGGGACCAGGAGTAGCACGTGAAGGGAGATGGGGAGGGCGAGGTACTGGGTCTCTAGGGTACATCTGGAGATTTACGCATGTCCCCAATCTGTTTCAAGCCCTCTGGGTGAGCACTGAAGAAGTGCGTTTCTCTGCTGGGGGCAGACTGACTGAATGCCTTGAATTGCAGGTAGGGTCTCTGGAGCAAGCCATGCTGGATGCCCTGGTTCTGGACAGAGTGGATTTTGTGAAATTGCTCATAGAGAATGGAGTAAGCATGCACCGTTTTCTCACCATCTCCAGACTAGAGGAACTGTACAACACGGTAGGGCCAAGCTAAGATGCCTTCCAGCCTCTGTTTTTCTTCTCTGTGTTTACCTTCTCCTGCCTTGCCCCCATGCCTGCGGTTCTTCTCCTGTCTCTCCTGTAATGCATGGATTGCTCCTCACATGCACTCCCTCACAAGTGAATAGCCAACAGACACCAAGTCACCAGGACTTCACTTGTTTTAACTGCTCAGTTGTCAGCATCTTAGACAGAAGGGGATGTGATCACCCGAGGGCCTTGTTCTCAGATTCTAACACAAAACCACCAGCGAGTCTCTGTCAATCAGAACACATGTACTGTGTAAGCCTGGGGGTGTTTGAGACAAATATTACAGAGGAGGCTTGGTTTAGCACCAAGCACCAAAGCAGGCTGATTAAGTATCACGTATCATTTTTTTTCATCCTCAGAGCAATGAAGTTCATTTTTCCCATGACAGTATACAATATCTTGGAGTCGTCCAAACATGTTTCGTGGTGGTGGTTGTTCTTTGCAGCAGCATTCACCAAAAAAAGCCAACCAAGTTTAAAGAACTGATGCTGTTTTTTACCATTTCACGGATGAGAAAACTGAGGTGGTCTTAGTCTATTTGTGCTGCTACAACAGAATACCTGAGGCTGGGTAATATTTATGAAGAACGTATATTTTTTTCTCACAGTGCGGAAGGTTAGAAGTCAAGATCAAGGGGCCAGTAGGTTCATTATGTAGTGAGAGCCATTCTCTCATCCCAGAATGTGTCCACTGCAAGGGACAAACACTGTCCTCTTAAGGCAGAAAGGTTGGAAGTATGAAAGTGTGAACCCTCTCCTGTCTATACCTCAATTCCACTTACAAACCCTTGTGACCATCACCTAACAGCCCCACCTCTGTATTGACATGAAGCTCAACATGAATAATGTAGAGTCACAGAGGTGTAAAACATAGACAGGGGCTAAAAAGTAGTTTATTGAAGGTCCTAAATCTCTGAACAACAACAAAAAGAACTTGGTACCAAACTCAAGCTTCTTCTCAGAAGTTTCCTTTCCATGTACTGGCCACAATGTTTGTCCCACCACTGTGAGTGCAATGGGACAGAGCTATGGACTGTCCCTCAATAAGAGGTAGGTGATAGATAATAGCATCATTCTTCATCTCAACCCCACCAGAGGAAGGAAGCCAGCTGGCCGAGTAGATCCAGGTTTCTGTTTTCTCTGCAGATGTGCCTTACCTCAACACGCTGAGATTTACAGTGAGAAATAGTACACTTTGGCATCATGACTTAGGTATCAGAGAGTAATGGTGGTGGAAAGGTTCATTCCAAATCCTAAAAAAGACAGAACGAAAGAACCCTGTTCCTGGACCTTAGACCAATAGGCTTCATTGCTCCGATCAACTGGCAGTACTATATTGAGAAAAATTATGAGGCAGCAAATGGAAACAACAATAATAATGATTTCTATCACTTATTGAATTCCAAGCACTATTTAATAGCTTATAAAGAAGTATTGCATCAGGCTGGGCGTTGGTGGCACACACCTTTAATCCCAGCACTCGGGAGGCAGAGGCAGGCAGATCTCTGTGAGTTCGAGGCCAGCCTGGTCTCCAGATCGAGTGCCAGGATAGGCTTCAAAGCTACACAGAGAAACCCTGTCTCGAAAAACAAAAAAAAAAAAAGAAGAAGAAGAAGAAGAAGAAGAAGAAGAAGAAGAAGAAGAAGAAGAAGAAGAATTGCATCATTTAGTCCTCAGATAGCCCTATCAGATGAAGTGGTGTTATTCTCTTCATTGTAAAGAGAAGAGACTGCATCACAGCAAACTCTGTGATGCCTATATGCACAGTCAGGGTTAGGGTCAAGAACCTCAGCCCCAGTCATCACCACTGTTTTAGAACTTCCAATCATGTTGCCAGATCTAGCAAATAACTGCAGCACACCAGCAACATTTGGGTTTCAGATAAGCAATGACTCTTAGCATAAATATGGTTGTTCTTCATATCTTCATAGGATTCATTCTAGGAGTTACCACAAAAGAAAAAAATACCTTGGGATGCTCAACTTCCTCATCTAAATGACATCAGATTTGCACAGACTTTACATACATCATCCTACATATTTTTTAAGTAACCTCTTTCTGGAAGCTAAATAATAAAGCAGCTAAACTAGGAACTTTCCACTCTCATATATAATACCCAATTCAAGGTACATAGTTATTAGCCTGTATTTTCTAAGGCAGTGTTTCTCAACCTGTGGGTCATGACCCCTATAAGGGTTGCATATCAGATATTTACATTATGAATAATTACAGTAGTGAAATTACAGTTATAAAGTAGCAACAAAATAATTTTATGGTTTGGAGTCACCACACATGAAGAACTGTATTAAAGGGTCACAGCATTAGGGAAGTTGAGAACCACTGTTCTAAAGAATACTAAGAAAAATACCTGTACATCTTCAATACGCACATAATTTCCCCCAAATAGTTTCAATCCAGTTGGAGGACTTCGAAAATACAGACATCATGAGTGTGGAGGGCTGACTATATATTCCTAATATTGCATGAGGCATCATTGCTCATCTGAAATTCAAATTAGATTAGGTATTCTGTACTTTGCTCAGCATCCCTACTCCTAAGAGACCATGGAATAACAAACCATCTACTTTATTCTAAGCCTCAATAAATGCATACCCTTTCATGACCTCTTTTTCCCTGGCTATCTTAAGTCAGATGTCAGGGAGTTATCACCAAGATATAAAGCCAGTCCACTATTTCTGTACATCCTGGGAGCCAAGGATGACTTTTTTTATTTAATGGTTGAAACAAACAAAGGAAGCCACAATACTCTATGACATGTTTAAATTTATGAAATCTGGCCAGGTAGCATAGCAGCTGTGTATAATCCCAGAACTCAGAATGCTGAGGCAGGAGGCCTGTGGTTTGAGGCCAGCTGGGATTATACAGCAAAACCCTCTCCTAAAAACAGTATATGAAATTTGATTTTCTGTGACTATGAATAAAGTTTTATTGAAACATAGCCAAGATCACTTATTTATGTATATCCTGTAGCTGCTTTCATACAGTAATAACAGCTAAACAGACTTGAGAAAGACTGTATAGTCTACAAGCATTCACTACTGACTTTCTGGCCTTTTTCAGAGAAAGTTGGCCAATGCTTTTTTGAAACAAGTTTTTGATGACAACTTGGAAAACTACATTGCATTAAATTAAGAAGTTTCTATGGCAATGTGTCACAACCCCTGTGCTTTGTCTTGCTGTAAAACTAGTTCTTCCTATACCATTTGGCCCTGTTATCTCTTAGTTGACAATCAGTCTTAAAATGCTTGAACCTACAACTTCAAACACATTTTTCTGTGATCCAAAATCCAGCCAGTCTTGGTTTCAAAGTGACAGATACAACTGAGCAACTAGAACAAGGCCCAGCACAAAGAGCTGCTGCCCTCCACCAGCCAAAACCCTTCCTTCCAGCTCCCTCATGCCTCACCACCTGGAGCCCCTGACAAGCAAAACTGTTTGATTGTTCTTTATCATTTTCAGAGACATGGGCCCTCAAATACATTGTACCACTTGGTCAGGGATGTCAAAAAGGTAAGAATCCTCTAGACCACAGGTCAGAGGTCCTGCCCTGAGTGCTTCCTGTGATAGACTGTACCTGTTATGCATGAGCTGCCCAGTCTCCATGTCCCTGCCAGCCCCCCATCGTTGCAGAGTGGTGTATGTGCATCTGCTTTGTAGCTTGGACAGTTCTGCTGACAATGCTGCTATGGTCCTTCCTCCGGTTGCCATGGATTTAGAAGCTTTCATTGAATGTAATGCTTTTCTATAGCAGATTCTAGGCTTTCCCTCATGCCAACGTGGATTTATGTCATTATTTATGTCTTTCCAAATGCCCCTTACAGCTGGGGAGTTAGTTTCCATGGTAGCTGACCACATGAAGTGCCTTCCTGCCAGCTCCTCACAATATCCTGTCTACCTTCATATAAAGTACAGTCAGAAGCTAAACAAAGGGGGTTCCACTATGCATTCCATCCTAACACTTTATTTTTCCAAAATATATTTTTATGCCCATCTATTCATTTTATTTTTTCAAATCTGATGGGTAATTCACAATTTATGGAAGAGGTTGAAGGGTAAGGATGTGATGAGTATATTCAGTGATTAGTAACATGCTAACATTGCCACAGATCTTTTATCAAGGAAAGCAGCAATGGCTGAGGCTTCCTGGTGATGGGCACACAGTATTGCATAGGCTGTCTACACACCTGAATTCATTTACTTTGCATAAAAATGTCCGAAGTAGGATTATAATGTCTTTATTACTGTTGTATAATATTCTCATTTAAGTTGAACATAGGAAGGTTATGTTTAACCTTAGACATACTTGCTCCTTTGCCCCGAACAGTCTCTTTTAAGAGTAGCTTGACTTCAGAACCTTTAACTCCAAAGAACAAAAGAGAAATTGTAGACCTTCCCTACCTCATAGGAATGCCACAGTACTACACAAGAACGCAAGGACATACGTAGAGAAATGACCTGGACGAGCAGCTTGATACTCAGTGGCAGGTTCCAGAGAGGGTGTACCATAGGATCGGAAAATAAAGAAGCTAGGAAAGTTGGGATCAAGCTCTGTGAAATGCCAAGCAAGCTTATTGTGAAGTCCAGCACCTTCTATACAATGTGTGGGGAAACAATGAGAGAGTCATCAGAAACCTATCCCACAATGGGACAGAGTCAGGAAGAAGCTGATCAAGCAATGCTGCCCAAAGGGAACAGGGGCTCCTTTATATGCACCATGTCCTGGCAGCCTTCACTGATCACCACAGCTTTTTAAGAAGGGGTTTTCCCAGGATCAGAAACCTCAGTTCTCCCAGAGCGCTGGCCCCAGGTCATTTCTGGTCTTGCTAAGCATGTTCTTGATTTTAGACAAGGAACTAAGTTCCTTCTCCATACATCAGGGCCTCGGGGAAAGTCCTGGGCTGGTTTGAGTCTCAACTGAGAATGAAAAGAACTGGACAAATATATCACCTCATAGAAAGTCCCAACTAGACGACCCTTAGTGAACTGTAAGCAACTCTTAATATTGTCTTCAAAGTGCTGGAGGCCCTGAGAGCTGCTTATAATTGGCCTATTTTAACCTGCTGGACCTTAGGAATGAGTAAAGGATGTAAGAACAAAAACATAATCCGAATCCACCTAAAAACACTGCTTTTTTTTTTCCTTACTACAACAAACCTTCCTTCCATTTACACACAATAATGAAAGATGTCCAGATTTGTGAGCAAAGCCTATAGCTTTTGACCTCAAGAGAAGCAGACCCTGGGTGGCTTGTTTACCCAAATCACTACTTTACTAAAATCCCGACTTTCCTCAGTCTGGCCTATATCAAGCCAATGTGGCATCTGTTTCTCCCGCAAACCCATTTCCTTCACACATTCTCCTTTTGCTTAATTTATCCTGACTTAAATTTTTCTGAAAACTAATCTCAGGTGATTAGGGTCCCACATAATCAACATATTCTTTGCTAAACTTTGACTCTCATGTTCGATAAATTATTTTTGGACATTTATAAAATACTAAATATGACAGCATTTCCTCACCTCAGATAGTCTGTGTCCAGCTAGAATGTAGAGCTTTCTCATAATGTAGCTAGGCTTTGGTCCCAGATCCCAGCCCTCAGCCAACCCAGAAATGGAAAAGTCACACACTCACTTTCCCGCCACCCCCCCTTTTCCCGGCAGTAAGGTCTTGCCTGATTTTCAAGTAGATTTTTGAAGTTCCATGAGTATAAATTATCAAGATCTCTCATATTAGCCTCTCTTCTCCATAGATTTCCACTTTGCAAGACCACTATCCGTTAGCTGAAGGTCCTTGAGCTGCCTTTTGCATTTGTTCATATCGAGAGCCTTATTAGAAGGTACCCTTGGGGTACTTTCTTCCCTTTGTTAAAGCTTCTTAGCTGGTAATGGGCCTTGAAAGAGATAGAAATTAATAAGAAAAGGGTGTTAAGAATGTGGAAGGCAGGCCTCACAGCAGGCCTTTAAGAGTGACCGGAATAATAGAGTGAGGATAGTTTCATGAACGATCTTTTACTCGTGCTGACTTAGGAACTGAGGAAGATGACTTTAAAACTCACCCAGAGTAGCACTGAACTGGCCTAGAAACAGTTTCTCTTTTTACTCAGAGAGCAGACTGCTAGTAAGAGGAGGGCAAAGACAATGCCTGTGTTTAGTTTCTTCTCCTAGAAAAAGTAGGCACAGGAAATGAAGACTTGTCTCCCTGATAAGGGGAACCTCTGGCTATTGGAGGAAAGGAAGGAATAGCCTTCTCACCCACAAAGGAACCAGATGTATCAACAGTTTATGATCACGGGTGAAATGGGCTGACAATGGGACTCTTTGTTGTATGTTTCTCAAAGATGTGAAGGGAAAGAAACTAAAATGTGGGTGCAAATTTCTTCCATGGTCCCAGATGACTTTTTCTAATTTAGGTGAAGTACTTACTCAGGAGATTCAAAAATCTAGGTTTCAAATGCTAAGAATGTCTTGGGACATTTAATTTTTAAAATTAAAAAATATAATAAGTAATATTAAAGAATATAATAAGTAATAATAAGAATATAATAAGTAATATTCTTTAAAATTAAAGAATATAATAAGATATATATATCTTATATATCTTATAATAAGATATATATATAAATATAAATATATATATATATATATATATATATATCTGTGTACACAGATTTGTACATGAGTTAGAAACATAGTTCTGGACCTTAAACACAGTATTTACTGAATTGTCTCTAAATCAAATGTAAATGATGCCTACAAACCCAAGGATACATTTCATAATTATCAGATCACCATAAGCCAATCAGGTCATCTCCAAGCCCTGCTGGCCTTTGAAACCAGTAGAAATGAGTGAAGAAAAATGCTTCCAAGATCTCAAATTATTTTATATCTTGAGAACAAGCTACAAGTAGTGTGGTAAAGAATTGCTATTCTCCATCCAGCAGAAGTTTGAACTGATATAAGCCAAACCAATTCGGGGAAGCAGTTTCATGCATAAATCCATCGACTATACTCATGGCTTTCCTATTAAACTAGTGGCTCAAGTCTGTCTGCACTTCTGTAAAATATAACCTGCTGTTTTAGTAGCTGTCTGCTCAATCTGTGGCTCCGGATGTTTCAAGCAGTGGTTTCTCTTTCTTCAATTAAATGTGCTAATACTTCAGATTATCTGTGCTGTCGTTCACCTCCACAGGAGGGTGATTTGAGTAGAATACATAGGCTAGGGTGAAATTAAGGTTTAAAGTTCATTTACATGGGAACTAAGACCCAGTTTTGCTGAATACAAAAGAGGGGAGGAAATAGAGGGAGGAGGGATGGAGGGAGGGAAGGAGGAAGGGAGGGAGGAAGGAAGGAAGAGATGGAGGGAAGAGAAGAGTTTTTGAAACTTTGGGTAAGGAAAGGAGATTTTCATAAGCCCATATGATAAATTCATGCAAATTTGTAGGAGCATTCTTATTTTTAAATAATCAATTGCCTGGTTTTTCACCTTGCTAGTCTACTAAACCATGGGTAACCTCCTTTCTTCCCGAGTGCTCCCCCACACTGAGCCCCACCCAGTGACAATTTTTCCCCATCAAGCCTGCCCCCCAAGTCTCTTTCACACTCTCCTTTGGTGAACCTGAAAATCAGCAATCATTTGTGACTTTCCACACCCCAAAGGAAACAAGCCTGTTTTCAAGGCTTATTCTGAGTTTCAAAGGAAAAAAATAAATCAGGGTTCCTAAACAGCTCAAATTGGACAGCCATACTATGAGCTGACACCTAAGGACAGTTCATTTTGAAGAGCAGATTCAACCTGTGAATTTGAACTGCTCTCGAGGACATCTTTAAGCATGGCATGACTTAAATTTTACCTTCAAGTAACGGTTCATAGCATGAAAACAACATTTTCAAGTTGTCAACCTGCCTCCCGATCCTCTCTACTAAGTCACTTGACTCTCGGGACCTACCCTGTGTTGTTAAGGCATGAAATGGGCCATCATCCTTGAGGCTTTGCCCGTTACTGAAGTCATGACCCACAGGGTGGGGACAGGACTAGGAACAGCAGACAGAATAAGAATGACTCTAGTATCATTATCTTGAATTCCAATTTGGAAAGATCCAAAGCAAAGGAAGGCTCCTCCAGAAGGCTGTTGTCACAACCTGTGGGGCATTCAAGCTGCCACACATCCTCTCTGCCTCCTCCAGAGCAGGCGAAGTGAGAGCACAGGTCCATCCACGTCAGTTCTGTGACCACCCCCAACCCCATACACCAAACTTCAGGGGACACCAACCCTGAGTGCTCTGCACAAAAGTCCCTGACCAATGGGTGGAGTAGATGGGTGCTGACTAACAGTTGGGCTTCTAGAAACAGGTGGGACCTGAGAAGCAATGGCCAAGGTCGCCTGATTTTAGAGCATAAAATGAGACATAGAAAAGGATGCAGAGTCACATGGGGTTGCACTAACAGAGCATAGCCAGTACTGTTTGCCCTGGGGACTCATTTCTCTGGTCTTCCTTAGCATGAAGACCTGAAACTCCCCTTCTGCCCTACACGTATGTCCTAGGATAAGCAATATAGATGCTTTGTCATTGATGTGTGTAAACCTCACCAAGTCAAGGCCACCATCCTCATCATGCAGCAAGGCTGCCATTTCCTTTAGAGTCTACCCAGGACACAGTTACCCCAACCAGGAATGATGAAGAGAGTGTAGCTACTTAATTTTGTTCCTGAGAACAAAACACACACATAACACACACACACACACACACACACACACACACAAACAGGCTGGATCCCAGCCATGTCAATTAATTTCATTGTTTCACTGATACATATTTTCAATAGCAAAAATCCCAAGAACCAACCACACCCCATATGTCATAAAAAGCAGAGGAAGTTCAAAGATAAAAAATTTCAAGAAAAATTTAAAACTATAGGTTTAATGACAGTATACAATGAAGCCTCCTTTAGCCAATTAAATGGATTTCCTACCGACAGAGATTCCCATGTCACACTCTTGAGATCCCTAGGTGGACTTCCACTGCCACCTGAACCTTAGATGGTAGAGAAGAGGTTCCACAAATCCAGGCTTGCAGCAAAAGCCACGCAGAGGAAGCAATGAGGCACACAGATATCTAACACACTGGAAGAGACAGGATGTGGTCCAGACCACATAGTCACCCAATTGCCCACAATGTGTGTGATATAAGCCGTCACTGGCAGAGGATGCTACCCTGCATCCGGAGTCAAGCAAGGCAGTGAGAGCTGCCAGTCATCTATGACCTCTGGAATTCATTCACTTCGAATCCCTTCTTCCTTGACTTAACAGAGTGGAGAGTCTCCTTGGGCTCAAAGAGTCCTCTTTTGAACCATCTCTATAAACAATCCGGGTGTTCCAGCCCTGGAACCAGCACTCAAAAAGAATTAATAAAAACCAAAAGATGCACCAGACTTCTGGATCTTTAAGAAATGCTACTGTGGCTAGAGACGTGCCTCGATATAAAAATGCCTACTTAGTATGTACAAAGTCCTGGGCTCCATCCTAACACTATGCCCCCCCCCAACCAAAAGCTATTTTGCAACAAAAGGTGACAAAACCACCTTAAATTTGTGAAAGCAACCAATCAAAGCTATTTTGCAACAAAAGGTGACAAAACCACCTTAAATTTGTGAAAGTTTTAATTCCAATGATAAAAATTTCTTCTCCTGTTACTCTTAAACACACACACACAGACACACACACACACAGACACACACACACACCCTTTAAGCACAAGGGACACTCATACAGCTCTATTCTGACACTAAGAAATGCTGTCCCTGATCCGTTATTTACTGGGGGTAGGGGAGCCAGTGTATGTGACTACAGAGGTCTTGTGTTCAAGTAGAATTCATCTCTAAGTGATCCACGCCCTGGTAGTGACACTCATCTTCTGAGAGGAGTCTTCCTTTGGTGAGTGGGGAGAAAACGAAGGGCCTTCGAGAGGCAGCCTGGGTCAGAGCGGGGCTCAGGAGCATCAGGGGCCCCTGCATCTAGAAAGAAGCTGGGAATGATAGTCCTTGCCTTGTCTAGCCTGTGTTTCTTTCTGCTACACTGGTGTTTTTTTCTCCCCAGCTGAAGACTTGAATAAATAATTTGATTTTCTGTTATTGCCGGCGATTACCGCATCTTCTTATTTAACTTATGTCTTCTTTCCAAGCGAGAGTATCCAGGTTTCGGTTGGATCTATTTTAAGGTGAATTAATTAACCAGCATAATAATACATTCATGTTTCTTTTTCATTATAATTTTTACTCTAAAATAGTTACAGAACACTTGCCAATGAACCCCTAGTAAACCACGCCGTCTTTTTGGGTTTGTCTGTTGTTCCCTTCGTCCATAACAGGGAAACCTGCCCCCGGACTACAGAATCAGCCTCATAGACATTGGCCTGGTGATTGAGTACCTGATGGGCGGGGCTTATCGCTGCAACTATACACGCAAGCGCTTCCGGACCCTGTACCACAATCTGTTTGGCCCCAAAAGGGTGAGCTTCTAGCATGTTCTTAATCTGTTTGGGGAAGACTAGGGACGAGAGATTTGGGATATGGCTTCTGTTTCTAAGGGAAAACAAATTGAAAAAACATAAAGTACACCTCCCACTTTTTCCATCCAAACTACTGAAATTTATTATTAAATTTAAAACACTGGCCAAACAAATTCTATCATCTGTTGTTTTCTTTGAGGTGACAGACCCGCTTTGGCCATCCTAAAAATGTCTGTCTAGTGTTGCAGTTTAAATAACTACAGTCTCTCTGCTAGATTTTCCTTCAAATAAAAATGATCTTCCATTGGAGGGGGCAGGCTTTTGTTTTTTCTATTTTGCGTTTTTATGTCTGCGATTCAATCCCATCAAAGACCTGCGCTTTTCCTAGGGAATCAATGGGTCAGTCTGTGGCAGAAGTGGTCCAGGCAGGGACAACTTCCACTTCTTATATCCTCCAGGATGGTAATAGGGCATGTCTAGAACGTGGCCTCATGGGTCGCTTTAGCCAATGACTGTAATGTTTACTTCTTGAGGACATTCTTAAGTGAAGCTGTTTTGTGTTTTTGTTGGTCAGTTCTTTGGTTTGTCTGTGTTCGGTTGGTTCGTTTTATGCCTAGCAGCCGGATCTAGGACAGCAGCCGGATCTAGGACAGCAGCCAAGCAGCTCCATCGCATTTGTTCCTATCAAGCTTAGGCCCCTACAGCTTTGGCTGCTGGTGCTTTCAAGAACACAGTGGAATCTCAGAGGCGTGTTATTACTATAAATATAGCCTGGGCTTCACTCCCTGAGGAGCTGGGGGACCCTTAGAACCCCAAAATGACATCCTGAGAGCAGCTGTCTGTGCTGGTTTATGGACATGATATTTCTTTGTTTATTCTCTCTTTTTAAAAATGCCCATGATTTTCTTAATGTTTGGGTTTCATGATTTTTCCCTTTATTTTATCTATGTTTGTCTGTTTGCTTTTCTGGGGGTTTGTTTGCTGTTTTGTTTTGTTTTTAACAAACTTTTCCACTGGTGAAAGTATTTTTGTGGGGCTATTAGAAAATCAGCAGAGGGGGAACTAAAAGTTTTGAATAAAGAAAAAAAGTTTAGATTTGTGGTCATTTTAGAAGCCAAAAGAGAAAAGGGGAGTGGGGAGACAGCTTTAAGCTACTCCAATTTATATAATTATAAAAATCCTAATTTGCAGGAACTGTCAGCTCATAATTCTTATGTCCCCAGTAGCTAGCTTCCCAAGTGACACCCACTGCTCTGATGCACTTAGAATACAGAATTGGTACTCCTGGCCTACAGGTGTAATTTTTTCACCTGTTCTTAAACACAAAGCAAGTTCTATAACTCCAGAGTGGCCTTCTCAGTGGCCTTCAGTTGTGCCCATTTTACATATTCCCAGCATGGCCAAGGAAGTCATTCCCTGTGTGGTGATGTTTCCCATGGCACTTAGCAAATTATGCCACCATCAGCACCTGCTCTGGCCCACACACCCTTGCTCTACTGTGAAGCACTGGAAGACAGTCAGAGGAAGCATCTAAAAAAAAACGTTTTAAATTGTAAACCAAGTCTCTGCATAGTAGAAGTTTTCCAGAGGTTTGAGAAATATCTGGTTTGATCGGTTGATTGTTTCATTTTTCATCTGTCTTCCCTGCTCAGACTGCTGGAACAAAATACCATAGGTTAAGGAGCTTATAAACAATATCAACATGTATCTCTCACAGCTCTAAGTTCAAGAACAGGGTACCAGCAGACTGGGTATATGCAGAGTGCCTGTTTTCTGCTTCACAGGTGGCACTTTCTGGCTGTGTCTTCATTTGGTTAAAAAAAAAAATGAGTTCCCACTTTTGATAAGTGTTCAGCTTTCTCTCATGACCTAACAGTCAGTCTCCCCCAAATGGCCACCCCAATACCAACACCTTCTCAGTTAGAATTTCATCCTATGATGAGGATGGGTGGGGAGGAAAACATTCAGACCATTCTATCTATTCAAGTGCTGGATGTCCTGGAGGTGCCAATCAAGTGGGATGGCTATAGGAAAGGGAAAGAAACTTTGACCCACAAAAGTCATGAGCCTTCAATTATATCTCTTCCGTTTCCTAACTCGCTATGGTTCCCCAAAATCACAACATCCCCAATTCTCCTAATTTTTTTTAAAAAACAAACATGCTCTTTTTATTGTGTTTACTCAGTGACATAAAATTAACGCTATATGGTACTGTAGAGTTCTTATATTACTTATTTGCAATATAGTAGAATTCGTTTCTTACCTCAATGAAAAAAAGATCTAACTTTGTTCACAACATTTTTTTAAACAGCCCAAAGCCTTGAAACTGCTGGGAATGGAGGTTAGTGTTGCTCAAATTATTAGTGTCGATTATTCTCTTTCTCACATATTTAAGAGATATATGAGTTCATTTTAGTAGTAAGGCTTAGTGCATGATTCTAAAATAAGTAAATAAAGATTTTCCAAGTGCCACGGTGGCAGCTCACAGTAGCTTTTAAAATTCCACAATGAATTTATGTTAGCACTGGGGGAAAACAAAAATAAATCCTAGGATAAATACTAACTTGAAAACAGTGTATAAACTCCATAGGCAAAATCAATTACAAATATTTACCCACAACAATAGATCCAAAGAATTTCACAGATGCATCTAGCAGGGATGTAAAAACTTGAGCAGTTTTGTTTCCACCTTTGGTTCATTGTTTATTGTTGTTATGTGAAAACACAAGTACAGAATATCTTTGAATTTTCAGAAAAAAATAAGAAAAAGAAACATGGTGATGTTGTCCACCATGAGATATAGACAGCCACACCTATGGAAAAAGAAACAGACAAAAGTAAACAAACAAACAAAAAAGAAAGAAAGAGAATGGCCTATGAAAATATGTTTGGAATTTTTGAGACAGACTTTCATTATGTAGCCCAGCCTGGCCTCGAACCCTCCATCCTCCTGTTTCTGACTCCAAGGTGTTGCTGGGATTTTAGGGATTCACCACCATGCCCAGCTTAGAAAATGTTTTGTTTCGTTTTGTTTTGTTTTGTTTAAAGTAAAGCATAAACTGACATGTGGGTCATTAAGTATACATTTATTAAGTCTTATTTTTAAATTAGCCCGAAGGAGCTTGTGAGTCTCTTTGGGATAAGAACTGGCCTCATTCATTACAGTGTGATTGAGAGCTGAGCCAATGGAAGGTCTACATAAAATATGTAAAGAATTAATCTGATTCACTTTCAACTCAGCTTGTATGTGTTCCTCTAAAATTGCAGGATGACATTCCCTTGAGGAGAGGAAGAAAGACAACTAAGAAGCGTGAAGAAGAGGTGGACATTGACTTGGATGACCCTGAGATCAACCACTTCCCATTCCCGTTCCATGAGCTGATGGTGTGGGCTGTCCTCATGAAGAGGCAGAAGATGGCCCTGTTCTTCTGGCAGCATGGAGAGGAGGCCATGGCCAAAGCCTTGGTGGCCTGCAAGCTCTGCAAAGCCATGGCTCATGAGGCCTCTGAGAATGACATGGTTGATGACATTTCCCAGGAGCTGAACCACAATTCCAGGTTGGCCAGCCACTCGTGGGGAAGGTGGGGTAGAGAAGGAAAGGTAGACTCCAAGTGCCAGAAGTTTTGGGATCCCCAAAACCTTAAAGGGTAACAGAGTCACCTCACTAGGGTACACAGAGGGAAGACATGAGTAATTTACCCTTACTGTGCGCAATGTTGGATAGAGGCACAGACAGATTACACTTACTTCATTCATCCGCTCAGCTGCCCCAAGCAGCAAGTCATAGCATCATGCACTTCATCTAAGGACACCATCTCAGAGAATTTAAGTCATTTGGCCAAGATCATACATGGTTGGCAAAAGCAGAGCTTGAACTTGAGTTCTGCCACATTTAATAAGACACATTACACTCTAATGACTGGTTGATTATTCTGCCTCTACCTTCATATGCCCTGAATCGGGAGTCTTGAGTACAGGAATCAAGCTCTCACTTAACACCTTCAGTTCTAGACATGGTACCTAGCACATAGTGAATACTTAAAAGATGTTGACTGGGTGACTTTATAAGTAAACTAGACCTTACATGAAACAGCTACTCCACACAGCAAGCTGCCTTTTATAATTGAACAGTAGGGCCCGTCTTTGTTCACGGAGGTACCCAAGTTGGCCTGAAGGACTCTCCTGTGCCTTGTCTTTCAGGGACTTTGGCCAGCTGGCTGTGGAACTCTTGGACCAATCCTACAAGCAAGATGAGCAGCTGGCCATGAAACTGCTAACATATGAGTTGAAGAACTGGAGCAATGCCACATGCCTGCAGCTGGCTGTGGCTGCCAAGCACCGTGACTTCATTGCACACACGTGCAGCCAGATGTTGCTTACTGACATGTGGATGGGCCGGCTCCGCATGCGCAAGAACTCAGGCCTCAAGGTCAGCATACCCAAAAATCATCTGTTGCCATAGAGTCCACGGGTTGGTTGGAGTTTTCCAAATCAAATCTATAACAGATCTAGGAATGGTCTTACACTGGGAGGTGATGCTAACCTACCGCTATTCCTTAGAATGTCCTTAGAGAAGAGATTTTCATTTACAATCAGGGATTTGAACTTGGGGTCTGACACATTTACGAAGGCACGATACATACACTCTAGTCATTGATTGATTGTTCTGTCTCTACACCAGTCTTAAGGCCCATTAAAACAGAGTCTGTTCGCAGATCCAATGATACAGAGTTCCCATAGTTCCCATAGGGCACTGTACACTCCTGCACAGTCATGCTACCATAGAGATCTCACCTAAGCCACCCTTCAGTGCTCTGTGAGGCTGAATACCCTCCTGGTCCCACCCAGACTATCCTTGCATTACTTCATATCATAGAGACATGGGCTCTGATAACATGGGCTTGAGAAACTTCAGCTGAACTAAAGTGGAGATAGATTTGTATATCAAGGCATTACTCACATTTTAAAAAAAAAAAAAATGTTTGAAATCAAATCTAGAACCTCACACATGGCAGTGACTGATAACATGGGCTTGAGAAACTTCAGCTGAACTAAAGTGGAGATAGATTTGTATATCAAGGCATTACTCACATTTTAAAAAAAAAAAAAATGTTTGAAATCAAATCTAGAACCTCACACATGGCAGTGAGCTATATCCCTGGTCCCTGAGCTATTCTCAAAAGCAAGTCACAGGCCAGTAGACACAACATAAGGCCATTTAAAAGGACATACATAAATTTATTTAAGGAAAACCAAGAGGAACACATGTAGTTCATTGTCTGTAGTAATGCTCTCAGGTATTAAATACACCATGTATGGGACATGTTCTGAAGAACAGAAAGTTGGGTTGAAGCCTTATTTGTTTGCAGTTTGGGGGAAGATCTCAGGGCCCTACACATGCCAGGCAAGCTCTCTACCTTTGAGCTACACCCTCAGCCCACTTTTTGCTTCCTCTAATCCTTTTTAGTGATTTTTAAGGAAGACATCAAAATGAAAGAATTTTTTAAGAGAGAGAGAGAGAGAGAGAGAGAGAGAGAGAGAGAGAGAGTTTCCTCTAATCCTTTTTAGTGATTTTCAAGGAAGACATCAAAATGAAAGAATTTTTTAAAAGAGAGAGAGAGAGAGAGAGAGAGAGAGAGAGAGAGAGAGAGAGAAATGATCAAGAGAAAAATGGAAGGGTGTTTGTTTGGTTTAATTTTTATGATGCCAGTTTTTAATTATAAATATTTAAGATACCAATATGATGCTTTAATGTACACAGAGAAACAACTACCAGAGTCAAGCAAATTGGTGTATTCATCATTTCACAATTACCCTTTTGTGCATGTGGCAAGACTGGCTAAAATCTACTCTCTTAACAAATTGCTAGTATATAGTATGACATCATGACCATGTTACTCATGAGATACATAAGCTCCTTAGACTCACACCACAATTTCGCATCTTGCCCTCTTTGACTGTTATTTTACTGGACCAGCACTGTTTGTCCCACTCCATCTTTCTTATAGGCTCTTGGCCCAAAGTTACAAAAAAGGTTTTATAAAGTGGGTCATATACTACATTCCAGAGTCATGCTGCTAGTAACTGCCAAGGCTGGCCTCAGGTGGTCAGCCAAGCCAGTTGTCATCTCCAAGGACAGGGTATTGTATCCTATGAAGATTGCCAGCATGTCATTTGAGCCTCCCAAAACACCTACAGTCCAGAGGCAACTCTGGTCCTTTTCTCCTGACTGACCCTAAGTTCCCATGGGTATTTCAGGACCACAGGACTGTCCCTGTGGAAGCATCATATTCACTTCAGGATCTGTCTGACTCCCTCCTCTCAGTGCAGTGTCTTCAGGGAGGCTCATCTTCGGGAGCCTTGTGCACTGGAGCCATTTTAGAAAGAGAGAAGCTGGGAAAGGCACTCTTCTCCGACAATGGAGGCGCTTGCTCTGCCATGAAAAAGGCCTAGGTAGTGAGCATCCTGACACTGAGATTCACACACAGCGTTTCCACATGAGAGCAATGCAATGCTGGCCTTCCTGGGGCTTTTGTGCAAGGGGACCAACTACTCTTGACAAACACAGAGGTGTCTGTGGAGAGAGGCGTTTCTGTTTGAGCATTAGCCAATGCCAGCAGAATGTTCTACCGCAGATAAAGTGTCTTCAAGGTGAAGGTAGAAAGCACTGCTTTACAGAGACCACCCGCTGACACATCAACTCTACTTGATATACTCACAAAAAAAAATGACAGTGTGTATGAATTGATTTTACAAGGCCAAGTTCTAATGACTAAATGGAAATCTCATTTTTTTCATCTTTGCTTTGAGTAAGCGCTCTTTCTTCAGTTTCCCCCATAAAGTAAGAATTAGTGAGATCAGATATATTTGAGCAAAGTAAGTGTTTCCTAGATGGGCCAAAAAGTCACCTTCTTGTGTGTTTAGATTTCCAGATATCCCCTTCTCTGTATAGCAAATGCAATAGCTGTGGATGTGTATGAATGTGCACAAACACACACCCACATAAATGCCACATCCCAGGCTCTCTGATTCTAAGCAACCACCCTAATCTTAATCCTTTAAATGTGATTACTATTATTATCATTGTTATTACTTTAGGTAATTCTGGGAATTCTACTTCCTCCTTCAATTCTCAGCTTGGAGTTCAAGAACAAAGATGACATGCCTTATATGACTCAGGCCCAAGAAATTCATCTCCAAGAGAAGGAGCCAGAGGAGCCCGAGAAGACCACAAAGGAAAAAGATGAAGAGGACATGGAGCTAACAGTAAGAAAACACTATGCAGTTTTTCTGCCTGGGGAGCCTCGCCCCAGCCACTCACGCATTGATGTTCAACAATGCTTGAGATAAGGCTTCCCTAGCCTCCTGCCAGGTCTAATGTTGTGAGTGTTGAGATTACAGTATCATAAAAGTTCCCTCTTTGTATGCAAACAGCAAGGCTATAGGATCCAACTGTATGGAAAGTCCTTCTGCCAACATGCTGCAGAACAAATCGATGAAAGTCAGAGCCAGATGCCCTCAATTTTCCAGGCAAGCATCCTGTTTATAAACATGACGATGTGACTGGCAGTCTTTACACACGAGAAAGAAAGGGAAGCCATGAGCTATAAGCAGCCAGCTTTGCTGAGCTGGGACCATTCTCCTGGTCGGAAGCTAAGCCTGTATCTGTCTTCAGGGTCAAAGTCACAAAGCCATCACTAATTGAATTTTGAGGTTCATGTGGAAAGCTTTTATTAGCGCTTCCTGGTATAATTATAGAACATGGATGCTTTGTTCTGCAGAGAGAACAAGACAGCTGTGCATGGAACCACTTCCCGCAGCCCCCACCCAAGCGACAGGACTGCCTCTGGCTTGTGTCCAAAGGCTAAAAATAGCCTGTGCTATTAAAGGGACAAATAGGGCTTCATAGCTTGGGAGATTCTGAATTCTTGCTGGCTATTTCAGCAGGAAGGTAAAGAGTATGTGTTCTAGAGTCAGAATCCTGACCCTTTACCTACTTTCTATATGACCTTACAGACAATTTCATGCCTTCAAGAATGGAAGTATAGTTTTGTCTGCCTCGCAGGAGGTTATTTGGTTTAAAGAGTAAACTGATTAGAAACATACATGTAAACTACTCGGACTAACAACTAAACATTAACAAATGTTTGCTTATGTTCCTAAAATGGTGCTACACACTCTATCTGCCCTCACATCATGGCCATTAGGAACACAGTGTTCTACTTCCCAGCTTAGAAAGCAAGGACTCAGAGATTAAACTGCCCACATTTACCCAACTGGTTAGTTGCAAAGGTGGGATTAGAATCCAGGAATGCATACGCCATTGGCTGTTAAGCATTTAACAACCTCAGTAAATTGTCAAAGGCAAGAGAGAATTATTTTCTGTTCTATTCTTCAATGGTCCCATTTAATGGATTTAGTTTACCACAGTGTAGAGAGCCTCCAAGGGATGCCAAGTGTCCCAGATCAAGAATGGTGTGGCTCCCTCACAGGTAGCCATCCTGGGAGGACATCCAGAAGCTGCCAGATGCTCTCAGTGTCTGGGTATAGAGGAAGGAGTTTTGCTGGTCTGTTAAGAGCTTTGGGGACTTTATTTCTTCAGGAAGTCACTGTAAAATATGTCTCCCTAGTCCAAGAGCATAATGGGCTTGCCAGGGAATCGGTCCTAACATTGTTCTCTGTGAACCTAAGTAGGAGGTGTGATGATGAGCAGAAACCTCACAGAGAAGAATAATGTGGGCACATGTGGGCTGCAAGCTTTGATTGGCAGCATTGTCCTTAAAGGGAGCCTCTTTTCACCCTGATGGCAAATTTCTGTCCCCTCCTTCTTTGGCAAACAGCTCACCCTGGACAGGATTGGAGAAAGAAGCTTGTTGCCAAGACCATTCCCTTCATAGGGATGATATCTGAGCTTCTAGCCAAATGAATGCATCCTTTCTGAGAACAGGACATCCTTGGTTGCTTCCAAAATGACACCTGAGAATATCAGTCTCCACTTGCACCATGTTTGTAGCCTTTAGCAGCTTAATTTTACATCAAAGGATCTTTCTCCACTTTGACACCTGCATCCATCTGGCAGGGTCTCAAATCTGCACTGAACAATGATATAGCTGACCCCGTTCAAACCTCATTTTCTACTAGAAAATATTTTTGTTTTCTATTTGAAGTGTTTCTTTTATACATAAATGGCCCTTTTAAATTCTGTTTTAAGCAACATCAAAGGAAATGTTTGACCACAGGGGAAAGAAGTCAACAAAAATCAGAGTTATGCTGCTAAGGCTGGAACTGGTGAAATGGTAAATGTGTAAAGGACAAGACTTTGCAAATGTACCCCACCCCTCAGAACGTATGTGAGTAACAAAGGAAAAGGCAGCTGCAATGCTTTTGTTTCACCTGCTTAGCCAAGGAAGTGTGCCATCCTGCACTTAAGCCTAAAACAACCCCAGCATGTGTAGAGCCCCAGGGCTATGTATGATTTGCTAACAAAGACACTGTCCCTAGAGATTACCCCATGATGACACTCCCTAAGATACCTTAAAAATGTCAACATGTCTTTACTTTCATTCCATCATATCCCCCAAATGGCACTGGATTGTCGGGCATAGAAATAAGCAAGAACAGGAGAAGAATAATTGTTACATAAACTATAGAACAAACATCTCATTCCGCCAGTCACTTGAGGCCAGTGACCAATGTCACTGGACTTTCCTGTACTTAACCCATCAGAATACTGGTTCAATTCACTGATGAAAATAGACACATATGACAGCCATAGAGGGAAATCTTCCTTCCATTGGCTCAAGGCACTTTCTCACCAGGCTATACAAAAGAATGGAGGTTTCTTCCCCAGAAATGTTCCTTAGTAGACATAAACCATTTGTGAGTGTTATACAGTCAAATGAACTGGCTATGAGGAAATCATTGAAATTCTTGAAACTATTATTTGTTATGTGCTGTGTCAGGTGGTTGAAAACTAAATCATGTAGTAGTGATCTCTGTCTTCGATGTCATTACAAATTGCAATCATTGCTATAAATTAGGTCTCTTAATTTGAAACTTATATGCCAAGTACTGAGTCTTATCCCAAATCCTTGTCAATTCTGAGCAGCTATAATGTATGTCTTATCCTAGCCTCACGTTTATTAAGAATCTCAGGCTTGGGGGTTGGCTCCACAGGTAAGAGAAATTGCTGTAAAAACATAAGGGCCAGAGTTCAAGTCCCCAGACCCACATAAAAAGCCAGCTATGGTCACATGTGTCAGGAGAGGTAGGCAGAGACAGGTTTACTGGGGCTTCCTGGCCATCAGACTAGCTCCAGGTTCAGCGAGAGCTCCTACATCAAGGGTATACAGTGGAGAGTGATAGAGCAGGATGCCTAATACCCTCCTCTGGCCTCTGCATGCACACCTCTACACATGGGCATATACCACGCATTCACCACACATCTGCAAAAAAGAAAAATTCCAATTTCTCAGCATTGTATAATTAACCTTATATGTCTTTTAACAATATTGAAGAATTAAAGCCAATAGTTTGCCCCATTAGTGACTCCCATAGCATGCACATCTTTCTAGTTAGGTACCTTCAGGGGATAGTATCTAAGAAAGTCCAAGTTCACTTTGAAGACAACCTAGTAGTTACTGAGCACTTAATTAGGTGCCAGATATCAATGCATAGGCCCCCAAGGACCATAGCCCAATTTATGGCTAAAGACCATAGGTCTCAGAGAGGTTGGAATAACTTGCCCAAGAGTCCAAAGATTCTGAGTATTCATCTTAGAGCTTACCCTCCCATCTGAGTCATCCAAAGCCCACAAGCATTCACTGTTGGGATCTTCAGTCATTTCTGGGACATCCTGTTGCTTGCTACCCAGACAGGGTGTGTCTTCCTGTCCTTCGATTCTGCTGTTTTTTTGCAATATTTGATCATTATTACTCAAACTTCTACTGTTGTGATGGACAGTGAGGGAACCCATGTTTACAGAGATCTCCAGCATCTTACAGACGAGGGTCGTTGCAGATCAGGCTTGCCTCAAATCCTTCTCCTAACCCACCTGGTTGCAGAGGAAGGCAGTGTACTCAGGAGTGACCATAAAATTGATAACAGCAGGAATTCCAGTCTTACAAGGTTTAAAATGGAGGGACCAATGCCCTTACTTTGATATGGGTAGAGATATTCCTAGCTTAACTAAACTCCAAGAACTTCAGACAACTTATAACTTGAATACTTCTGCTCTTTGGATATGTAATGGACTCTGGTCCAATCAATCCACCTTCAACTGGAAAGTCACTAGCACAGGTGTAGACAGAATTTGAATTCAGACCTCGAATGTCTCATATACATATGGGAAGAAAGTAACAGAATTTGGACAGGTCCCTGTAGCCTGACCTTCCCAAACAGTATATATTATCCCTCTCAGAACTCTGTGTATATCCTACTGCCTACCTCATTCAGAGGGTCCAAGTTAGAAAAGAAAAGAAGGCTCAAGAAATATCCCCCAAGCCTTCCATCCTTAGAAGAAATACACAGCTTGAACTAATACAGTGCAAGCTCACACATAGACAAGGCATGTCTTTATACTCTGAGGGTGGGGCTTATATTGGGGTCTACGCACTCTTGGGTGCCATGAGCATCCACTTGTCTTCTGCAACGTGGCCTACAGAGCCCAGCCTTGATGGTCTCTGTTCTATCACACCATAGGCGATGTTGGGGCGAAACAACGGGGAGTCATCCAGAAAGAAGGATGAAGAAGAAGTCCAAAGCAGGCACCGGCTAATCCCCGTGGGCAGGAAAATCTACGAGTTCTACAATGCACCCATTGTGAAGTTCTGGTTCTACACTGTAAGCATTTCCCTTCCCCCTTTCCAAAAGACATTCCTTTCTCAGGCACCTGTGTGGCTTTGTCTGAGCAGCATTATAAGTACCACATGTGCAGGAATGAAAGCTCTGTGACGTTGTTTTCCCAGTACTTTCACAAGATTTGAGGACCTTGCTGGGCAGTGTCCATTGACTGCCTTTATGCTTGCCACAGAAGGTGAAGGAACTGGTGGCAGTGAGGCATAATAGAAGCAGATGTGAGATGTGTATGAGTTAGTTCAACGTGAAAACAAATGTCCTCTTCCAGAGCATTTCTGTGTTGCCTCATGGATGAGAACCCAGACAGAGTGGCCCATTACAGATGCTCATCCTGGGCTTCAGGGAACGTGTGGTGGGTCAGGTTGACACACAGTGTAGATGCAGCACCTCTAGGGACAGACAACATCTATAAGTAACAACTTCCAAACTGGTAATGACATCAGTCACACTTTCTTACCCAGGCACAATTAAACAGCATGCAGCTCAAAGCTAGAAAACCTCCAGTCCTGGTAAATACACACCCTATGCACACATCCTGCCCGAAAAGCCATGGGCTTCCCCAAAATGGTGTCTGATATCATAGATAGGGACATTGCTGGGGTTCCCTTCTCCTTTTCAACGAAGGTGGTTCTCCACCTTCCTAATGCTTCGACCCTTTAATACAATTCTTCATGTTGTGGTGACCCCAACCATAAAATTATTTTCATTGCTACTTCGTAACTGTAATTTTGCTACTGTTATGAGTCTGTATTTTCTGTGATAGTCTTGAGCAACCCCTGTGAATAGACCCCAGAAAGGGTCATTTGACTCCCAAAGGGTCATGACCCACAGGTAGAGAACCATGGAAGTTTAAAGTGATTCTGTACAGCCTGGTAGAGCTACACCAGATAGCTGATGATGTTTCTGAATCTTTAGAGTGTCTCACAACCAGCTATAGAGCAGTCATGGGAGTCAACAACAGGATAATCTAGGTCTGAGAACAAGAGGGCTTAAATGATCATGGAAGTTGCTTCCTGTGCGGTACAAGATACTAATATTCAATACTGGCTTTAGAGGGAGACTTCATAGCCTCAGCACTCGTGATATTTTAGCTAGGATAATTCTTTGCCATGCAGCAGCAGCCCTGGTCTGTACCCACCAGATGCCAGTACTGCACTCTGTCCTTTAAGGGTGACAGCCAAAATGTTTCCAGGCATCTATGGGATAAAAACTACCCCAGTTAAAAGCTGCTGCTTTAAGGGATGACTTAATAGAGTATGAGAGAATATAAAAATATACATATCACATGGGGGAATGGATAAGTAAATATGAGTGGTAATTAAAGAATTTAAATTTAAAAAAAGTTCAATTTTACCAACATAAAATACTATGCTACCTTAAAAACAGAAACCATTGCTATAGGGGTAACCAACTGCTTTCCACAAGAGGAGATCATACTTGGTACTGTAAAGCTGGCCAGAGCTGAGGCGATCAGAGACCCTAAGGGAGAACCAACTACCATATTGCTAAATGGACATGATGCCAAGTGGCTCTCTAAACATTTATAACCATAGATTAGTGCAGTTCTTCACCTTGGTTAGAGAAGCTTCTGTTTGCAGGGGAGTCGGTTAATGCAGAGGCTCATAAATGCTTAAAGTGCTAACACAAAAAAATACACATATCACATTTATATTCATAATAGTAAGATAAAATTTCAAATGTATTGACATTCTAAAATAATAGCCACCTCAAAATAACATGCATTCAAAAATTCAGTTTACATCTTTTTACAGCACTCTTTCATAAAAAGTAGTGGAGCTGTGTGACTTTGTGTAGCCTAAAAGGAGACAGGCTACAAACAGGTCTGCCTGTGTCCCTCTGTTTGACCCCAAACATGGCACTTTCCCATTCTGTACTTCTGTAGACAGAGATAATACTACTTCCTATTTTAGGAAGATTGATGTGTTGAGGGATATAAAACACTTACAATAGTGTCTGGATCCGTAAGTACAATATGGGAGTAACTAGTGTTATTCCTAAACTAGTCACATTTCTGAGAGGTAATCAATGCCAGAGTCATCTGTCCACTCAACAGCAGAAGCATCATTTATTGAGCAACTACTGTGTTTAAGCAAGGGTCCAGATGCTTCCTAAATAACTTCCCTGAGGCTGACAACAACTTCATCTAATACAACATCTGTCTCTCCTTTTTATGCCCACATCTGTCCTTCTCCTTCTATTCTTCTGACTCTGTTATCACAACCAAAAGGGGGAGTGTGAAAACTATAGCCACAAAGGAAAATGCCACTCTTACAGTCTACGTGCTCCAACTCATTTTTGCATTATTTCATTTATTCTGTGAGTACATCACACTGGGTGCCTTAGGCATGCTAGGCAAGTGCTGCACCCCTGAGCTACAACCCCAGTCTGATTTGTTTTGTTTTGTTTTGAACCTTTCTTTAAAATGTTGAAATAAGCTTTTTAAAAAAATAAAAAAGATCAGTTTGTGAAATATGAAATTCAAATTTCAGTGTTCACTACACCTGGCCACATGTGTGCTACAACAACAACAAAAAAAAAAAGTTAATAAAAAAAAAAAAAACTTCTTGGCTTACAGAACCCTGAAGATTCATCCTGTCAAAAAAAAAAGTTAATAAAAAAAAAAAAAAACTTCTTGGCTTACAGAACCCTGAAGATTCATCCTGTGGCCTTTTGCAAATGTTAGTGGATTCCAGTTCCTGGTCTAAAGCATAGGAGAAACTGGCGGAGAGAATTGCATAAAGAATTAACCAGCACTTGGATGAACACTGACCTCACTTAGCCTTCCAAGTCATCTACCTTTTCTTCTTCTTTGAGGTTTCAAATTCCCATCATTTGAATTCCTTGATTCTCTTGCTCTCCATTAACTCAACTGAGGCTTTTTCAGCCCCAAATGCTTTTTAATCACAAGTGCCCTGGAATCACCCACTACACTTTTGGTTTTGGTTTTGGTTTGGTTTAGTTTTGTTGGGGTTGGTGTTGATGTTAGTGTTGGTGTTGTTGTTTAAGCCAGGGTCTCACCCAGGTTTTCCTTAAACTCATGATCACCTTGCCTCTGCCTCTGGGATTTTAGGGATGGGTCATGTCCATCTGTTGGAACACCTTAAAAGCATGCCCATGCCTGGCCTTCATCCTCAGGGCTCTGATGTCATCCCTCTGGGTACAGCCTTAGAGCTTTCCAGGTCATTATCATGAGCAGCTATGGGGTTAAAAAGCCCTAACTTGGAACAGAGAGTAGTGAGTTTTAAATTATTTTTTTTAATGCCCATGATAGAAAAGGATTTACTAGAAGTCCCAATTCAAGTATCCAACATGGACCCAACTGAATCAATTCTATGGAATTAAAGTTACAGGTGTCTCTAATCATTACAGAAACCTAGGGCTCAGTGCTTCAAAGACCATTTGCAGCATGTTTTGAGACACTAAGTTATTTTTCTATTGCTGTGGCAAAACACTATGGCCAAGGCAACTTCCAGAAGAAAGCATTTAATTAGGCTTATGGTTTCAGAGGGTCAGTGTCCACGATGATGGAATGAAAGTGGGAGGAATAGCACGTCCTGATGTGCAAGTATGAGGAGAGAAAGCTAACTCAAAATACTGTGAGTCTTTTGAAACCTCAAATAGCCACTAACTGGAGACCAAGCATTCAAACACATGAAGTTACCGGGGACATTCTGATTCAAACTACCACAGGAGCTGTATCTTTGATATTGGGGTTAAGTGTCCAGCTCTCTCTCTCTCTCTCCTATAACTGACTGGGTTAGCCTCAGTAAATCCATCACACTAAATTCCCCAGTTATATTTGAACAATTCCAGAAGTTTGTGTTCAATTGTTGACAAAACCCAGGCCTCGAGGTAAATGAATGGCAATGAGATTCCCAAACTTTTGAGACCCCAACAATACTTAACAATAAAATTCATCATCAGACTGATGATCCCATTTGCTGTGACCTGTGTCCTCTGTAAGAGTATTTCCTCTCTGATCTCCAGAAGTATCCCTTCCTCCTCTCTGACACTGTCCAAAGAGAACACCCAACTCAATCCCCTAGGAACTCTTGTCCTCATCTCAGCTTCCCAGAGGAACAGGTGGGTCCTCTTCAGATCCAAGATAGAAGGAAGCAGATCCAAATGGCTCACAGCCCCTGTCTGGGCAGAGTATCTTATGAGCTGGAAGAGATTTTGAGTTCAAGGTACAAAGCGACAACAAGTCAGAGGACATGATGTATACTGTGGGTTTCCCCAGTAGTGACAAGCACTCCCCTAGACGCTCTAGGTTAGGTGACTTATAAGATGGTATGCATGAACTGAAACTTAAACACAAATTCCATTCCGAGTTTCTCTGCCTACATTCCTTACTCCAAATACAGTAGACTTGAGTTCAGAGGGTGGAGCCTGTTAGTAAAGTTACTGAAATTCTAAGACAAAGAATTTCTGAAGAAATGAGTTCATATGTCATTTGGCCAACATGTGACAAGGGGAGACAATGCCTTGGAATGTTTTCATTGAACTTTGTAGAATGTTAAAACCAGGGCGCTTAAGAGTCACTCCACCTTGAAGCAACAGAATTTTATTCAACAAAAGGAAGGACGTGACCAGGAAGACAAAAGCAATTCCAGGCAAAAGGAAATAGAGAGTTTTCCCACTGACTCCCTTCCTTTGTGTTTTGTAACACAAAGTCCTTGTGCTCACAAGGACTTCAGAGTATATCGGTGTTTTCTTGCTCATAACCATGCAAGCCAAATCACACTTGGAACCAATTTTTAGAGGATGCCTCTCTCATGTGAAAGTTCTGTGATGCCCTAGTGGTTCTTAAGTGGGGATCTGTGGGAACCTAGACATGGGTTAATGCAACAGTAGTCATGGGGATATGAAAACCAAATCACCCAGGTGGAAGAGCTCAGCACCCTCAGCAGCTGCAGTACTCACTGTCACAGTTGTATTATTCCAGATGTTATATCCTTTGCTTCTGTCGTTGCTTCACCCTTTAGATGCAGGAAGGACTGGCTGGGAAGTATCTTGCAGTGGTAGAGTGTTTGCCTAGTATGCCCAGGTCTTGGCTTATCAGAAAGGGAATTCTTTGCCACAGTTGTACCTGGACATGTGTCATCAAGGTAATGGGGTATCAGAGGTACCTTTGATTCACATTAAACATCTATCCAATTTACTGAAATGAAGGAAGAAGACCATTGGTACATAAGACATCTCTCTGGTCCTGTATCTTTTTTTCTCCTCACCAGGCTGCAGTTTCTGCCTCCTAACTTGCCTTTGCAATCCCAAAGTCACCCAATATTTTCAGCACCTCAGATCCCCAATCCTCCTGCCCACATGCTGCCCTGCTCATGGCCACACCACCCCCAAAGAATACAGACTTGAGTCAGCTCACTCTGGGTCTCTGCTCACAGCCCCTGAGGCCAGTCAGTGCCTTGCTCAACTTGGAACATTGCCTGCAGGATATTTCACTCATCTGCCATCCCTCCCTCCCCCCCCATGGGCTAAATTTTCTTATGCAAGAGCACCACCACTTCTCTTCTTTCCACATTGGCATCACTGCAGTCTTTCAGCAACAGCCTACAAGCCTGGGCCCTCAGGAGTGTTTCCCACGTCCAGCATTTCAGCCAGGCACATCAGGACTCAAATTCCAGATGCTGGAGCCTCCAGAGGATTAAATCCACTCTGGTACACAGCAGGTCACATCCCTTCCTGTAAACTGCTTTATTTTCTCTTGCTTTGTTTCAAAAAAAAAGGCAGAAGGCAAGCTCAAATGTTCCAACCAGAGTAGAGCAGGATGACAGGACAGTGGGAAAGCGGTCAAAATCCTCCCTAAGAAGCCAACCACTGTAGGTCAAAAACATCTACTTAGGACAGCATGGAAGTGGGGCCTTAAGATTACATCTAGGCTGCTTACACTGTAGTTTTGCCAACTTACAAGTACTATATGTGTCTTTCTTCTGGTAGGAATTAATCTATCTGGCATCTTTCAGGAAAAATATATATATACTGTATCACCTTAGTATGGGAAGCCAAGTCTTCGCCCAAGTAAGAAGAGCGCTGATAGGCCAGGTTTTTTTCTAAGCCAGAACACACACACACACACACACACACACACACACACACACACACACACACACACACACACACAAACACACAAAACAACAACAACAACAAAAAAAAACTGGTGATTGCCAAACAAATTCATACATGGTAACACGAAGATTCAATAAATGCACTAGGACCCCAGAGACACATATAAAAGTCAAAAACATTCCATATTCAATTATTTTAACTATTATGGCCTTTTAAAAAAAAATGTTTGCAGTAGTGATGGCTCAGCGGGTAACGACACTTGCCATCAAGCCCGGTGACCTGCATTCTATCCCCAGAACTTGGTGGATGGAGAGAAACAACTTCTGCAGACCTCCAAAGGAATGCACACAGAAATACATAAATATTCTTTCTTACTTAAAGTTCCATAGCTCATTCGCCATGGATTCCCTGTCCTGCTTACTGACCTTGCTCGGTGCTGCCATGCAGTGGTCTTACCCAGGCCTCTGCAGTCAGAGTACCGTATTGTATTTCCTTGCAGCTGGCGTATATTGGATATCTGATGCTCTTCAATTACATCGTGTTAGTGAAGATGGAGCGCTGGCCTTCCACTCAGGAATGGATCGTCATCTCCTACATTTTCACCCTGGGAATAGAGAAGATGAGAGAGGTAACTATTTCATAAATGAAAAACAGGAGGGAGATGGTTGCTCATCATATCTGAGGATGGAGAATCGAGAGGGATGCTTGGGATCCAAACTTAGCCCCACACTGGGTCCTGTAATGTTGCTGAGGGCTGCCGCTTTCCTCTTTGTCAAACCTGGAGAGGTTTCCTAGAGCAATTAAGTCTGTTTTCTGCTCACGTGCCTTTTGCCCCAAGACATCCTCCAGAGGGCCTCGATATCATTTACATCTCCCTCTTCTCATCCCTATGAAGATGACTTTTTACATTTTGCTTCTTTTTTTAGTTCCCATTTCAACCCCTTTCTTGGGGTCTCCTTGGACACTATCCCCCAATCCATATCAACCTCTCCAAATGTGTTCCAGCGGCTTCACATGAAGCCCAATGACCTGAGTTCGATACCCAGAACCCACATGGTGGACGGAGAGAAACAACTTCAGCGGGGGAGAGGGAGAGACACCCTGCATGTACCCCTTCATTCGGTTTATTCTTGAGTTGATTCCTTCTCAACGTCTGTCACCCCCATGCTGGGCATCTATCAGCTCTTCTACCCCCACGGAGCACCGTGGAGTACGGAACGCCATTGTGTTGTTTCACATTGAGGATACAGTAGTCTCTCTCCTCACCTCCCTCCATTTAGACTAAAGGGAGCCATTGAAATGTCACCCCTATATAATTGGTTTGAAATCAAAGCTAACCACGGGGACAGGAAATATTCAGTGCTAAAAAGAAATGCGCTATGAGGCAATGGGAAATGTGTTTCAAAGAGAAAAATGTCTGAATGGGATAGTCTATATAATTCCAGCCAGATGAAATTCTGGGAAAACCTATGGAGATGGAGGGTAGCTATGGAGATGGAGGGTAGCTATGGAGATGGGGGGGGGGGCTATGGAGTGGTAAGAAGATTAGTTGCCTGGGGTAGGACATTGGAAGGATAGTAGGTGAAGCTGGGGCCTCTAAGGACACAAATACATTTTGTCTGCTACTCTAGTAATGGTTTCATATCATTCTACCTACACATGTTCAAACCCATAGAATGCATCCTACCAACAGTGAACCCCGATATGAAATATAGTCTCTGGGTGATATGTCAACATCATTCCACCATTTGCAAAAAAAAGGAGGCCTTTGTGAATTTAAAACTGCTTTTTAAACTTAATTTTAAAAAAGAAACGCTAACCCCAGCAGGCAGCCCTTTAGATTCCAAGAGCTTCTAAAATCTATGTGGTCAAGAAACAGTCCACAAGAGGGCGCAGCAATCCTGCTCAGTGCTCTCCACAAACTCCTACCTCACCAGAGAAAACCTGCCGGGAAGGCAGGCTTGCAAGGTGAGGCAACTCCTCCTCTGCATGTTCCCAGAAACTGCAGTGAGTGGGAGGGGCCTTTTCAGTAGGAAAGGATCCTGTGAAGTCTGTGCGGATCTGGGAGCTCCAACACAACCCTGGTGTCTGTATGACAGTGGGTGGGCACGGAATGGAATGGGGCCGCAAACCCACCTTCACACCCAGACATATTCAAATGTTCTTGCCCTGGTGAATTTCATCTCTTAATGTTCTCCAGAGAAGAAAGATGCTGTATCTATTACATTTAAATTTGATTGCAACACACACACACACACACACACACACACCTTTGCATTCAGCACCTTTCTCTGGGGCTGTGTGGGTGCTATTTTGATTCTGGCATTTCCTCCTCCTGAGAGCTTGGGAGTGGTACACAAGCCCGATTAGAGACTTGGCTAAATGACTAAGGACTAAGGCAGTGAGATGCCTTATGTTGCTTCGGTCAGTTCTCTGCACTGTGTTCCACCATTCATAGTGCCTTCCATTGCTTGAGCAGCGCAATGGGCTTGCAAACTGAAAAACAGTAATAAATTTGCCTGGGACTTTGTGTAGCTCTGAGAACTGAGCCTGCTCCCGCTGGGGGGCCCTGCCTCTGTGTCTGTATAGTGCCAGCTGGCACTCCAGAGACTTAACACCCAGCCACATATTCCTTCCTCATCACAAGCAGAGGAGGGAAAGACTGGAGTGTGGAGACTGGAGGCTGTCCAGGGACTAGGCTGGAAGAAGACGGGGAGCAGCCTGTACTCCTCGGACTGTTCTAGAAAGGCTGCCAAGTGGGCAGGCTGCCAGCAACCTCCAGGCCTGGCCATCCATTTCTTATGAAGCTGCATGTCATGGCAAGCTGGGTGGGGCTTTCGATACAGGGTCAGGACTGGGTCAGCTGAAGATGCTTGCCACTGAAGGAGAGGTGGGAAGGGGGGTTGTGGCCATTTCTGTGTCGATCTTTTTCTCTGCGATTGGTGAGGTCGTCTCTCAGCCTGTGTCCCTGCCTTGAACTCGGGAAGGCGAGGCTCAGCTATTGAGTGGGTGACAATTCCCACAAGCACCGGCCTTCCTGCCTCCTTGTGGTTGGCACACAGGCCCCCGGGAATCCAGACGCAAGATCCTGGAAGCATGGAAAAGTTTGCATGCTTCCGTGCCTCCCAAGCAAACACAAGGAAGGCTGTGGTTTCATGTGCTGCCGGTCCCATTCTCTTCACCACATACTTCTGCATGTAGTCACCAGAACCAGCCACAGCAATCCCTTAATAGTATGGGGCTGTTTACAGCAAGACTTAGTAGACATTATCTCACCCGGTGCCCCCACACACACAAGTCTGTGAGGTCAGTAACAGCCATGATCATATCCATCCCTACTTTACAGGTCTGGGAAACAAGATGGAGCAATTGTTTGAGATGCTACAACTAGGGAAGAGAGAGAGGTCTGAAACCTGTTTGCATCATCTGAAACTCCCCTTTCCATTTCCCCATGATGCTTTCCTGGGTCCCAGGATACCAAGGCCTGTGCTAAAGGCTGGCTTAGCAGTGATAGAGCAGAGGAGGAGCTCTCCTAAGCCCCCTCTTTCCTCACTCTCTCTCCCCTTTCTCTTTCCTCTCCTCCCTCCTCTCTCTCCCCCTCTCTTTCCCCTTTCTCCCCTGTCTTCTCCCCGCTCTCTTCCCTTCTCTCTCTCTCTCCTTCTCCCTCTCCTTGTCTCTAATAGAAGTTTTTGCAACTCCCGAGCAGAGGGGTAGGCATCACTAAGGTGTGGTCCACCCTCCCTGCCCCTCCTTTGCTATGCACACGCTCAGATGTTTACCTAGTTATGAAAGCAGAGGGTCTTTCTCCCCTCTCTTCTCCCACCTCTCTTCCCTGCTCTCTCTCTCTCCTTGTCCCTCTCCCTCTCTCTAATAGAAGTTTTTGCAACTCCCAAGCAGAGGGGTAGGCATCACTAAGGTGTGGTCCACCCTCCCTGCCCCTTTGCTATGCACACGCTCAGATGTTTACCTAGTTATGAAAGCAGAGGGTGAGGAGCCAACAGGACAGCAACAGTCGCAGGGAGAGCTGGTGGGTAGGTAGGACAGTGGATCTCACACCATGGTCACCAGCATGATCTGGGAACAAGTCAGGACAGTGAATCTCCTGGCCTAACCCCACACTTGCTCAAGTGGGAAGTCAGTGGTGGGAATCAGGTATCTGTCTGTTTGGAGACATAGAGGCTACTGCAACTGGAATGGTCAACAGAGGCCTTCCTAAGAAGGGGACATCTGAATACACAGCCTAAGGATAAGAAGGAGCCAAACAGGCAAACTCTTGGAAAAATGAAAAGAATTAAATGCAAGTGCCATGAGCTTAGGCTGAGCATGTTATGCTTCCCAGCAGGCCAGTGTGGCATAGGGAGAGAAGGAGGGAGAATGCAATGGGATGGGAGCGGGCCATGGTAAGGAGTCTGGCTTTTGGTCTGTTTATAATGAAAGCCATCAGAAAGTTTAAGTATGTACTTACTGTGGTTTGCTTGTCCCTCGTCTGTTTTTCTAAGGCATGAGGTATAATTTACCGGTAATGAAAGGAAGCCCTGCTCAGGGTACAGCTTGATGAGTCTTGGCTTACACAAACAACTGTGTAGTCGCCAACCACATCAAGGGTTAGATCTTTAAAGAGCTCGCTGTATGTTGCTCAGAAAATGGATGGTAGTCTGGTGGCCACAATGACAGCAGATATGCCATAAGAAGAGTTGCAACCATGTGCGTGATGTAATGGGACTTAGAATTCAGTGGCAATCATGGACATGATGACAAGCCATTAACGGGGTTGGACTTCAGATAATGACTTGCTGATACAAGAGGAATGGAGGTGTCCTGTAGGAGTGGTCCATGTCACTCAGCGCTATTTACTAAGATGATTGTAGGGATCTGTAGCATGTTAGGAATATAAAATGTTATAGCAAAAGCCTGAAGTGGCTCAGAATTGCCAGAAAATCCAAAGGATCAAACCAGTTGTTTACATCTGCTTTTAGACTGAGCACATCTGTATTACCCAGGCTTAGTTCAATTATGCATTCATAGCATATAGACACTCAACTAGACACAGGTCTGGACGGCCCCTTCTGTCAGCTAACAGAGCACTTTCCAGCTGAGCGGAAAGTATAGGAGAAACCAGGCCTAACCATCTGTGCTGCTTTGCAGATCCTGATGTCAGAGCCTGGCAAGCTGCTGCAAAAAGTGAAAGTGTGGCTGCAGGAGTACTGGAACGTCACAGACCTCATCGCCATCCTTCTCTTCTCCGTGGGCATGATCCTTCGTCTTCAAGACCAGCCCTTCAGGAGTGATGGGAGGGTCATCTACTGTGTGAACATTATTTATTGGTACATCCGTTTACTAGACATCTTCGGCGTGAACAAGTATCTGGGCCCATATGTAATGATGATTGGGAAAATGGTAAGCAAGGTCATTTGGTCCTGTGTTACTCTTTCCCAGAGGAAGATCCATGATAATAGAAAGAGAGATGTGATTCATTTTGGTTTGCTACTGTGGTCTGCATGAGATGGCCCCAGGGGTGTTTGGGTGTTTTAATTCCCTTTGAGTGCTTTGACTCTATTTGACTCTATTGCTATATAAAAAAACTAAAGAGTGCAATCATCAGACGCCTGTTTACTAACTGAAGCATATGGAAAGATCACTCGATTTATGCCAGGCACTGGCTTAAGAGCCTAGCAAAGCCAAGCAGTGGTGTCACACACCTTTGATCCCAGCACTCAGGAGGCAGAAGCAGACAGATCTCTGAATTTGAGACTAGCCTGGTCTACAGAGAGGGTTCCAGGATGGCTAGGGCTATACAGATAGATCCTGTCTAGGAAAAGAAAAAGAAAAATAGTTGAGCAAAGATGTCATGTCATGAGACTTAGACAAAGGAAGGAGAGTCCTTTGCATATAGGGTGAAAAGGTCCCGAGAGTGACACCTATGTAGTCCAGCAGAATCACAAGTCAGGACAGGCTCACGCAGAACGTTCACGGTGGTCAGATTTAGAGGAGGATCTGGTCTCCACTAAAAATATTAAGAGATTTTGAAGACTTGTAAAAGCTGAGCTTCGGAGTTGACATTTGAAGCTGGGTGTTTTGCACTCACTTGGAATACCCCACTTGCAAAGTTAAGGACATCAGATCCCAGGCCATCCAGAGTTACACAGCAAAAGCTTGTCTCAACACAACCAAATGTAAAATAAGATCAAATAAAGCTCTTTTAGAAAGTGGCATTTTCTCCCAAAGGGAGAGTGGTGTTGAGTTGATCTGAGTTAGGGAGACAGAGTCTGAATACCAGGGATTTTGTGAGTACTGGGGAAAACTCTTGACTAAACCTGGCTCCTGGCACCAGCTCCTCTAATGGTTTAAAATAAAAGACTCTCAAGTGGCAAATTAATGTACCTCTATACAAATGTCTGAGAACTTCAACTTCCTGACTATATTCCAGCTTCCAGAATTTTCCCATAAAGACTGAATTTGAGGTGTCTGACATTGGTGTGAACCTGGTGATAGGTGAGGGTTGGGGGGTGGGGTGCTGGTTCATGAGCTCCTTTCTCAGACACTCTAGGGGAATAACCAGAGCCTGATGTCCACATGTATATCTCCGCTATATAGAAAGCTAAGCATATCCACCCTACCTGGAAAAATATCCCCTCATAAGAATCTCTTTAGTATCATCTCTAGTTCCATTCTATGAGCCATTGAAACCATCAAGTGGCATTATAGATGCCTTTTTACTGCCACTCAAGTTTTACTATAAGCATCATTGCTAATTCAGTACTTATTAAACCCCTGTGTATGAAATCTACTTAAATACATCTTAAACAACTCAAAATCTTCCCACTAAGAAAACAACAACAACAAATCCATGAAAAGAAAGGAAAACAATAAATTTGAAATGGAATTCCTTTACTCTTTGATATTCAGTTCACTGCCTTCTAAGGCAACAAAGAACAATAAACATAAGAGCTGTGATAATTGGTAATGGCACGTGCTGAAAAATAGCTGGTAGATAAACTATGTCTCCTATCGTTATGTTTACATTTTCTTTTTAAAGGACAGTGAAGAAAGAAAAGTTTACAAACACACTGTTCTTCTATACAACCAACCCTTTCGTACACAAACTGGGAATGATCACACCAGTGTCACTTGGGGTAAATAGCTCCAGACACATTCTAGAGAAAGGAGACATGGGCTCTGGAGCTTCAGTTACCCATACTGAACCCAGTTTAACTTGTGTGAGAAGGGGGAAAATGTGCATTATTTGTTTATTCTGTCATTGTGTCTTCGTTGAACAATGGGTGGGCTCTGGAGCTTCAGTTACCCACACTGAACCCAGTTTAACTTGTGTGAGAAGGGGGGAAATGTGCATTATTTGTTTATTCTGTCATTGTGTCTTCGTTGAACAATGGATTAGAGATTTGGGTGACAATTCTTAGGTCTAAAAGTAGACTCTGTGGAATGTGTTTGAAGGAAGGGACCTGTGGATCCCTGCTCCCAGCTTATATAGGAAAATGTGCACGTGGATTTCTGAAGAGAAGGGGCCTTTGTTTTTTGATTTTTCTTTTTAATTGGGATATTTTCTCTTTTTTCTCCCAGATTTTTTTTATTTGCATTAGAAACAAGATTGTTTTACATGACAATCCCAGTTCCCTCTCTCTCACGCCCTTCCCTCCCCCCACCCCCAACTAAAACCCTACCTATCACATATCCTTTCTGCTCCCCCTGGATGGTGAGGCCTTCCATAGAGTGTCATCAGAGTCTATCGTATCCTTTGGGATAGGGCCTAGGCCCACCTCTGTGTGTCTTGGCTCAGGGAGTATCCCTCTATGTGGATTGGGCTCCCAAAGTCCACACCTATGCTAGGCATAAGAACTGAACTACTACAGGAGGTCCCATAGATTCCGAGGTCTCCTCCCTGAAACCCACCTCCCTGGGGTCTGGATCAGACCCATGCTGGTATCCCAGCTGTCAGTCTGGGGAGCAAGAGTTGCCCATTTTCAGGTCAGCTGTTAGAAGGGGCCTTTTTGAGATTCTCAAATATATTTCCAAGTAAACTGAAAAAAAAAAATATCAAACTATAACAGCTTGGAAATCAGGCCAATTTTTCTCCACCTTGACACTTTTTTTATTTATTTTTTTAAAGAGTGTCTCACCATGTAACTCACCCTGACCTGGACTTTACCCTTCTCCTGCCTTTGCCTCCTACGTACTAGGACTGCAAGCATGCATACCACACCCCCTGATTCTTTGCTGAAGAGTCTCCATCCTGTATATTACAGGATGTTTAGCAGCTTTCACACACACACACACACACACACACACACACACACACACACACACACACACAGAGAGAGAGAGAGAGAGAGAGAGAGAGAGAGAGAGAGAGAAGAGCAGAGAGAGAGCTAGGACAAAAATATCTCCAAATATTACCAAATGTCCCTGAAGCACAAAACTACCCTCTGTCAAGAACCACTACATCAAGGGACTATTTAATCAGATAGTTATTTTTTATGATTACCTTATTTTAACAGATAGAATATTCAAAGACCCAAACCAAGTCAACTATTTTTAAAAGTCTAAGTGGCATTTAAATATTTGAAATATCTAAAGTTACATTAATACAGTGAGATTATCTTAATTTCCATGCCTATCATTTTAATAATGGCACGATTACCCCAGTTTCAACTAGAATGAAACCTTACTAAGAAATGAGCAGGAGGGATGTGATGCCTTTTCTCTCCTTTTTAACTTATGAATGACTTCATTTATCAGTCAGAAATAAGTAGGAAATTTGGGGACTTTGAGTTCTCACAGAATGCTTTTAAGATAATTAGTTCAATAATTGAGTCATCGATCCAGAAGGTAGATAAAAGTCTTTAGAGTTTATCAGTGAGCCAGATGGACTACAAGCTGGAAGCTGAAGATCTCCCCAGATGTGTTACATACAAAGCCCTCAACTTTTAGAGGCCCCCTCTGTACTCCACACCCAGGTAGACATCTAGAGACAAAACACAGGATGGCCAGGTGCTCGTTCTGAATTGGGTTTCTGTGCTGGCAATAAAAAAACAGCCCATCAAATCAATGTTTGAAGGCACAGACCTCCTTCATCCATCCCCACTGTGAGTCCCGTTGATATGCAGTGCAGGTCCAGGTTCACTTGAAATCCTGACTCTGTTCTTTCATATTTCATTTTTCAAGGAAATTCTGTAAACCTTGGAGTAACTCACTTGTGTAACAAGGAATAGAAAGAAACCATGTTAGGAGTTATGTGTTTCTGTGCTAGGCACCCTGGGAGACACAGCTCAGTCCTCATTATTAAACCCCATGGAATAGAGTTTAGAACCCTCCTACATTAATTAAATAAACAGACTCCGAAAGAGACAGGGACAAGGTTCAAACTCCTGACTCCAGATCCTGACCTTCCAATAACAACACATTAGCATTTATGAGAACTTACCGCATAGCCATCCCATTTAGTCAAAGGTAATCTCGTGATTGTTATTATTATCCCACTTACAACATTTAAAAACAAGATTAAGCAACTGGCTCCAGGCCACTTAGTGAACTTTCTTTGTCTTTTTTAATGGTCAGGGGAAGGATTTTTTGGTGGAATTTTTTTTTTTCCATGTAGCTATTTTTGCTAGCTGTTGGGATCAAAACCCAGGTTGTCTGGCACCTAGCAGCATGTGGCTCGTCACCACTGTGGATGTTCTCTGTTGAACATACTGAGAGGTGTTCGTAAGACTGGGCAGGATCTTAACATTGAACTCACTGGATAATTTAACTTTGAAAACAAAAGAAGTCCCATTCCCTTTTTATTAATGGGGCTCAGTGGGTGATATTTTTAAGATAGTAAAGACTTTGAAACAGGGAAAGCTCGGCATATGGGAAGAATTTGTTTTTTCTTTTACTGTTTTGACCCTGTGAATAGATATTAGGAGCAACCTTTAAAATAAAAGGCTGAGAAATGAAATTGGTGCAGTTTCTGTACTTACTGGCAGACTAGCTCTTAACCTCATGTATAATCAAAGAATTTTACAAAATAAAAAGGAGAGAGAAGATGGAACATAGACTTGGGTTTCCTAGGAACATGTTTCAACACAGCCATCTCACCTACTTAGAGACCTGCACCCACCAACTGGGAGAAGGAATAACAGCTGGCTTGTACCTGGGAAGACATGGAAAGGAGGAATTTTGGAGAAATTCCAACCTGCTTCAAGGTCTTAATTTTTTAGCAGATGTATTTTGAAGTTGTCTTGAAAATTGATGAATTGATCTAAAATATACTGAGGCCCCTATGTCCTAAAGAACCCAGAAGATCATAACGTTTACAGTACTGGAACCAGTACCATGGAATGTTCTCTTTTAAGCTGGAGGAGAAAATAGGTCCATAGTAGAGTGTGTGCTTACACTAGGCTCTTGGTCCGATCCCCAGCACAACAGTAACAATAATAAATAAAACAGTCTAGGACCTTCTTTATCACTGATAACTAGCATTTATCATTCTCTGTGGGTGGGCTCCCCTTTTACACTATAATATCCTAGAGGAGGAAGTCTTTGGTGTCAGACAGTATAACACACGGAGTGAAAACCAATTTCCGAAACTCAAAGGTGGGAGAGAGATACTGACTTAGAGAGAACAAGGTGGAACTGGCCATAAAGACTACTGAGACAGGAGTTCAATCGCTGCCAGAACCAGCTCTCTTTCTCTTATATACTCTGCTTATTCACTGGTGGGGAAGGTTAACCTCCAGCATGCTACATGGTCACAAAGAATGAACATTACAAAGAATGAAAGGGAACTTCTCTCTCTACTTCTGCTTTAAAGAAATGGTAGAGCGGGCTGTAATCTCAGCACACAAGAGGCTGAAGCAGGAGAATCACAAAGTTCCAGGCCGTCCTCACCCACATAGTGGGTTCCAAAATACTTTGAGATCACATAGAGACCCTATCTCAAAAAAAAAAAAAAAAAAGATTCTGAGGATCTGGTGATCATACCTTGTGTCAAGTGCCTGCCTCACCATGGCTGACATGGGGTGAAGTCCCACAACTAGCCTAGCTTGGACAGCACACCTATCTTTCTAGGCAGATGGCGTTGGAACTGGCTGTTAAAGAAAGAAGCCGTGGGTTTGGAGCCAGTCAGGATCACCGCTTACTGTACCCTTATCAGTTTTCAATGTTGAAAAGAAAGCAATTGATGTCTGGTCACATAGCACTGTAACAAAGAAGGGATGGGAAATGGAAAATGGGGAAAGGAAAGTTGTCGGGAAAGGGAAAGTGGGGAAAGGAAAGGTGTCAGGCTTCCACCAGGAGGAGATTAGAAACTCACCAAGGAGGAAACCCATCATGTCAACAACAGAGCACTGGTCTGGTTCATGAAGCCACATGGCTTTAAGACCCGTGAAAATCCCCTCCATAATAAGATACCCTACAGGAGAAATATAGAAATTGGATGATTCTGTGAGAGACTGGCAAAGAATTGAGCAATGTGATAGGCTCCCCTTTGCCCTGCCCTCGGTCTATTTGTAAGTCCATATTTTCTTGAACTTTCCAAGTCATGTTAGCCCCTTAGAACTTAGAGTAGGAATATACTGTTCTGCACTTGTTCTTAAAATAGTCCAACTATCCCAATTCTAACTTTCCTAAGAAAGAAAGAAAGAAACCCAAACAAGCGACTTGCCTTTTCTAATAACAGTTTTTTTGTTTGTTTGTTTTTTTTAATTGTGTTGGAACCATGTGGAGAACCCAAATTCTGAGGAAAGAAAGAAAGAAAGAAAGAAACCCAAACAAGCGACTTGCCTTTTCTAATAACAGTATTTTTGTTTTTTTTAATTGTGTTGGAACCATGTGGAGAACCCAAATTCTGAGGACTAGCACTTCTGTGCCTAGCTGTAAATATATTTCATAGACATACATAAAAAAGAGGAGCTCCACCACTCGTGCACTTGTTTAAAAAAAAAAAAAGCTTTTAGCAGCTGTCATCAGTGTTTAGCAGGTAGACATCAGCTTCAGTAGTCCACTTGTCCTCTTAGTCGGGGATTCCTTCAATGTCGGCATTCACAGGCACCCTCAATCACATGGTTTTTTCTTTTATTTCTCCTTCTCTGCCCTTCCAGATGATAGATATGATGTACTTTGTCATCATTATGCTGGTGGTGCTGATGAGCTTTGGGGTCGCCAGGCAAGCCATCCTCTTTCCCAATGAGGAGCCATCTTGGAAACTGGCCAAGAATATCTTCTACATGCCATACTGGATGATTTATGGGGAAGTGTTTGCAGACCAGATAGACCGTAAGCAAGTTTATGATTCTCATACACCAAAGTCAGGTATTTAACTTTGATTGAGTCACGTCTTTTCCAAGTCCATTTGTTTGTCCTCAATAAATGGCTCAAGATAGAGGACCGATTCCTAGTTTGCTATCTTGGTGGAAACAAACAATCACTGTGAGTGAATATACTATTTTAGCAAAGTAGCCATCAACTGTTTCTTCAGTTATGTCCTTCCTATAATGCAAACAGAAATCTAGTAGACCAAAGCCGACACACACACAAAAAAAATGAACCATTTTAAATGCTATAAGTTTGTGTACAACTCAAACTCCTAAGGCCAGGTTTTTCATATTTCATTACTAGGAATATATTATGTCAAAACTACCCACTCCTACCCTAGGCCTCAGCTTGCTAGACTTTAGAAAATAAATTCCTTGGGCTTGACTTTAGAACAAATAAACAATTCTCAATTTCATCATTAGAATTCAAGATTAAGGGCAAACATCTGTATGGTATTTTCCTCATGCTAGAAACTATTCCCCAACAGCCTTTCTCATTGTTAAGTGCTATTGAGACACAGATGAAGCCAGAATTCATTACCAAGAAGTATGGAAAATGCCTGTAGGTCATAGACCGAGTTGTTTGCTGTAAATGTCAGGGTGGAGGGTATCTATATCATAAAGTGCTTTAGTGTAGACCAAGAGCCAGCAGCCCCAGTGCCTTCAGCCTACTAGATACCGAGTCTTGACAATAAACAACTCCCTTTGTGTGAAATTGGAGGATAGTGTAGTCATGAAATCTGTTCCAGGATTTTATGTGGACCAAATGTCAGGGCACACCAGGCATCAGGAAATGACTTGGGGAAGAGAGCATCAGGGTAGAAGCATGTTTCACTGTGGAGTTGAATCCCACGAGCAGCTCTTTCTCATTTTCCCTGAGGACTTTAGCTCTGAAAATAACAACCCTCCAACACTGTTGAATTAACATTTTTTAGACTTTTTTTTTTTTTGCTGACAGGCCAGCCATCTGAGCCCTGGACTGTGAACGAGGATTAGGGTCACATACCACATAGCTTAATAAGAGTGGGAGTAGAGTCTAGTCAGCACCCCACTCTCCCTCCTCATCCCAGGTAGGATGGGGCCTGTGAACACAAGGACATAACACATTTGCGCTTGGAAGTCCTCAGGCCTGTGAAGAGCGTGTGTATCCTGGCAACAGAACACAGCCACACGTCATTTTCCCCTCCATGATAGATTTTGAACAAATACACTTCCCTTCTCAAAACACATTATCTGAGGCTCTGAGGCAAGCAAGACTTTTTGGAACACCTAATTGGAACAAATATTTGTTCCATAAGACTTAGCCAACTCACGGAGGAAGAATTTTAGCTCCATCCTCCAGTTATAATATCTTTGGCTGACAATGCGCAGCCTTCAGAAGGCAGTTTCCCAGGGACAGGAATTTCCTGTAGAGAGCATCCTTTCAAACGGTCCCTACAGGCAAAACAACACTTAAAAGTTTGTTATTGATTTGTCTCCTCAGAGACTAAGCATGCTAGTCCGAGCCCCCCCCCCCCCACCGCCGGGAAATTGCTTTTCCACTCTGTTACATTATTTTGTCTTTTCAGGTTGTCCCTTTTTCTCCCAGAATGAGATGAAACCCACATGGGCATTTGAAGGATGAAGCAATGTAGCGTGGGTGGGAGAAAGGGAGGGAGAAAGGGAGAGAGAAAGAAAGGGCGGCATGGATGTGTTTTACAAATGGGATTCTGTGTGTCCCTCTACAAGTGGCCATTTATTGATGTTGTACTATGAACCGAGCCTAGTGCAACAAATACCACCATCTGCTGAATACAAGGACTTAGTATTGCTGTTTAAAAAGAAGGGCTGATTATAGTTTAGAACTTGAAATCTCCCCACCACCCCCAAAGACAGAATAGAGCTGTTTTGTGTGACTGGAGTATGAAAATAGACAAATTCCCCTGCTCTGTGAATTGGATCTGTGGCGCTCTATGTGTGTGAGGATAAATCTTGACCCCCCTAAATCCCAAAATATAACTGACCTAGCCTTAGACAGATACAACCTTCTTGAGACCCTGCCCTCTCCCTCTGTGATCTTCTGAAGTTGGCTGCGATGGCGAACTCTGTTCTAAGCTAAATCAGCCAGTTTTCTGTCTAGAGTGCTAAAGAGTATCTGTCCTTTCTCAAATGGATTTAGATGACTGTCCCCAAATCTCAAATAACACTCTGCCAAGGTCACAGGACGTCACTGTCCTATTACTGACTCAAATGCCTATGCTATGGCACAAGGTGGGCCCAGTGGAGACGGGAAGCCTGCCCCCCACCTGCATCTTCAGAACCGCCCAGGAGAACTAGTACCAAGCTGTTTGAGAAAGGTACAAATCATTGATGCTGCCCTGCAGTGTGTGGCCTTCTCTCTGTGCCGTGTCGAGGTTGGTGTGTAAAGCATGTATTCAGGCTGATTGGATCTCATATCCACCCGGACCCGCTGCTCTCCCACAGTCTACCAAGCCCATGCTGTGGTTGTGCTCCTTCCCCATTGCTGCTCATTCACACACACCCCAGAAGACTCATCCTAACGTGATGCACGTGCTGACTCCATATCTAACTCTGGTTCTTTTGACTTCTCCGTTGTTGGACCCATTTCATGTTGGGGGAAATTACCTCTTTCTTAACTGGGACTGATTGATGTGAATATGCAATGGGGCCCCCAGAAAGTGTTAACTCAGAATGGAGGACAGCTATAATGCCCTCACTTCTGGGAGGCAGTGTTACCTAACTGTAGCTTTTTTATATATATGTATATTATCTGTGTTCCTGTTATTTTAGACAGATTACCTAAAAATCCAAAGACTATAGGATGAGACCTGTAAGGTTACTTTCCAAATGTGCTTAAAATCTTAAGAGAAAAAAAATGGAAACACATTTTTAAAAATCACAAAATAACAAGTACATTTGTCTTGTAAGCCATAATAGACCAGCCTCAGTCTAAATTATCTGAGAGGATAGAGTTTGGCTTCTGGCTTGGAAGCAGAGGAGTGCAAGAATGTGATTAGAAGTAGAAGATAATGAAAACGAAGAGGGGACCACGGGCATTTTCACCCTGAAGGTTGGGCCTCATGCTGTTCTGCTTCGTGTTGCTGTTGCTGACTAGTTAGTTGGTCAGTTGGTATTTGGTTTTATTTTACTTGTTTGTTGTTGTTGTTGTTATTGTTCAGATAATCGGTAATTGACATTAAGTACTCATGTTGCATATATTACTTTGCTAAGCCTGGCTAAGGGCCACTACAGTGACTTGGAGTCTAGGTTGTTAAATACACCAATATTGGCCAGTGGCTGTAGCTCAATGGCAGAACATTTGCCTTGCCCATAGGATGCTCTGGTTTCAATACCCAATGCCACAGAATAATTAATTCATTCCATTACATTAGATACAGCAATACCAACTTCAACATTCTTTTGGGGGGGTCTCGCTGGGGTGACCCTACTGCATTGCCTCTGAGGGTTAGCCAGGACCCCACAGGTGCTTGGGTGGAAAACACACTTAAAGAGCAGAAGAACAACAGAATAAGTACATTCCTGGCAGTATCCACACCAAGGCTGGAGTGAAATTAAACCTGAAGGGCTTTTCCTGAGCTCAAAGATCTGGTTTGGTGGGTGAGGTGCTTGGAAGTTCACCTTGCTTAGCAGAGGAGACAGGGTGCTCTAGGCTCTCACTGGATGGGGCTGCTTCTTTCTTACAGGGAGGGCATCCTGCTGTATATTCACATCCCCCAGGCTGCACTGAGGCAGGAGAGAAATGAATCATGCTCTTGAATGCATTAAATACGGGTCTAAATTTAGGCCTCCTTTCTGCCTCTCTGGGTATTTTTACAAGTTTAGATAGTACTGTGAAAGCAGAATGTCCAGGACTTGCTTTCTACCATGACAGCTTAATATTACCTAGCCATTTCCACTCTGAATTAAATAGCCAATCTTCTTAGTAGATGGGTCATTTTTTTCTTGCTGCCTGGGGCTTTATCATCTGAAATTAATAGGGTAATCTAAGCAGAAGAGTTTTGTTTTGTTTTGTTGTTTTGATTGATTGATCGAATACAACATTTTGCTATTAAAACAATCCTTGATCTTTGGCATCCAGGTTGTCTTTGTGGCTTTGATTCAATCAAGGGTCTAGTGTGTGTATGGAAAGCTCAAGTACTGTCCTGAATTACTTTTCGGTCTCCAATTAATTGTTGGTCTATTTGGATGTGGAAGTAGGACAGCTCGGGTGTCTGAAATACACTTGCAACGTGGAGCCTGGAACTCGTGGAGAAGGAAGATGGCGAGTGGTGTGCATCTCAGTCATTCCCTCCAGTTCTCAGAGCTCGGCTCTTAGCTTCTGTTCAGTATTTAGACTGACCTCTGATGGCTGCAGAGCACACTGATACCTAACGGCTATAGCATGGGCTGCCTTGCCAACCAGGAAATGGACTCTGGGAAAGAAAAGCTTGGGCTAGTGCCCGCTTTGTGGGAAAGAGGAATTGTTTTATTAGGTTTCATTAGGCTTCATAAGGAAGCTGGCCACTACAGGGCTGTCTCTGAAAAAGTCAGCTCATACAGTAAAGAATGCCCACATGACTTGTTTACAAACTTGGCCTTGTGAGATTTCCAGAGAACAGAACTATCTCCGCATCGAGTCACTGCTGTGGCCTGTATGCATTCCACTAACATGATATCCACTGTAATTTACTCACAGCTTGGCCTCTACTTCGAGTCCATTCTTCATTCAAAGGATTTTTTTTCTGCCTAAGAGCTGAAAAGCAAAGCCTCGAGATAAACATGAAAGAGACATTGCCTTCAAGGAGCTTACAGTTCAGAAGGGGCAAGCTGCCATTGACAGCCTATATATTGAGGCAAAGCTCAAAGAGGAAGTCAGTCCATTCCACATGGAGTAGGAGCATGGGTGTAATAGATGAGGCCTTGCAGAGAAGAAGAAGGCTAAGCAGAGCCCTGAAATATGAGCAGATGTGTGCTAGGCAGATGGGAACAGGGGGTGTGAAGAAAGAATAGCATTCCAAACTGAGACCCAGAGTGGCAAGCTCCAGGCACAAAAAGATGATTTAGTGTGGCTCACTGT